AAAAAAAAAAAAAAAAAAAAAAAAAAAAAAAAAAAAAAAAAAAAAAAAAAAAAAAAAAAAAAAAAAAAAAAAAAAAAAAAAAAAAAAAAAAAAAACTAGTCACATATGGACTCTTTGTTTTGAAACGCTCTTTTTATGAAATATATGATTGATTTTTGAAATGATGTTTTCCTTTAAATTTCATGCATACGCATTATACGTCATTGTCCTTTTGCGCCACGACTCGTAGTAAACATTGGGTTGTGACAAGTGTTGTGTCAAAAGAGATGATAAGTTGGAATTTAGAGGGATCTCATGCATATTGTATGTTCATAAGCATAGGGATACTTCCCTAGAGACGATGAGTGCGGACGTGCACAATATGATGATGAGGGTGTTCATGAAGAGCATGACACCAAGGGATTCTGCTAACATCCAGATGTCGTTACAGATTAGCTTGACCAGAGAGGGTTCAGGGGGTGTGCGAGCCTCCTAGAGATTCGCACTCGCATGTGTTGGTCGTGTGTAAGGAAGTAATACACATCCAATTTGTTCGAGATTAGAAGCCACTCCTAGAGAACAGAGATAGGTCCGAAGAGCATGATTGCATGTGTTTACATTTGCATGGCACCCTATAGTGGGCTACGTACTGAGTATTCTTCAAAATACTCAAGCCGTGTACCACATAATTTCTTAGGTTGCAAGACGCACTTGTACGGAGGACGATGACATCGCGAGCAGAGATTGTGGCACGTGCATAGGGTAGACTCATATTTAAATTTCTAGTCTTAGGTTATAATAGGTTGTTTTGCATTTCATCGTTTTAAATTATTTTGTATTTATTTTTATTTTTTCTAAATTTCAGTATTTCGTATTTAAACACGTAAGACCATTATTGTGTTTTCCAAAGAAAAGTATGTTTTAAATGTTTTCTAAATTTACGCTATAGATGAAATTTTCTTTTAAGAATTATTTTTCCGAATAAAAGATGAGCATAAGACGTTAGTAGCGACTCTGAATATGTAGAAATTTAGGGTCGTTACAAGAAGTCTAAACTTTTGAAACCTCGAAAATCTATCAATTTAGTCATCTACAAGTCACGAAGGAGGGATCAGCAGAGAGATAGAGGAGGAAAAGGAACGAGAAAAGACGTGGAAAACGTTACAGGAAAGAGAGGGAAAGACATCAGAAAATCGTGCTATGAATTGGGTGAAGAAGAAACGATCCAACAGATCTAGATCCAGGTCGGACCAAACATGTAACCCACTCAACAGCCGTTGGTCTCGACCCAGTGCCACATTGTTAGCCTAACTCACACCTCGAGTCGTGTCGTACAGCTAGCCCAATCGCGCAACAATCCGAGAACCCGAGACCCAAATTGCAGCCCAGCCTACAACCCGAGACCGCAACATAATTTGTGTGATTGATGTAATTATTATTGGCATGCAATTTGTATAATTATCAAAACCCATTTAAAATTACCACATCAGCATAATTTGTATATGTATGGTCTACTATATACATGAAATTATCATTAGTTAATTTTTTTAAATATTGCTAAATAAATTTAAAATTTAAAATTTAATGAATGAAACTAGACCAAGAACCCATTTGAATTTGGATCTTGATGTGTCGGTGCTTTTTAACTGTAGGCATCTTGCTAGAAAGTTGGTGAGCGCATCATAAATTAGGTGTCAGGGTGACTTGTGGTTTCGAGATCCCATTGAAAATGCTTCTTTTATGCCTCGGGTATTAGTCAGAGCTCGTATTCATTTTCTTCATTCTTAGACCGAATATTGTGACTTTTCCATGCTGTGTCTCAAGAACCTTTTCAATACGGTCAGGATTGCTAGCTCTCGTTCATAGTTTTGCTACAAATGATACACGAGGAAGATTTTTATGGTGGTTCTTCCTTCTAATGACCGGCATATTAATGATTCTTTTCTCCCGATGATTGGTTAAAATTCTTTTAATAATTTATTTTAAAAAAAAATCAACTCATTAACTCTAATAAATTATCTAAAATTAAATAATATAATACAATTATTGAAAGTAAATATAAAAATTAAACATAGATGTGTTGGATGATGGAAGTCCCACATCGGTTAATTTAGGGAATGGTCATGGGTTTATAATCTAAGAATACACATGAGAGCTTATGCTCAAAGTGGACAATATTCATATCATTGTGGAGAGTCGTGTTCGTCTAACAAGATGAAAATTTTAAAAGAAATATGCAGATGGTTGACAGTTTAAAAATTTAATTACATAATAGAAAGGGAATCAAAGAGTTACGGTGATGAACAGGAAGATCCGTTATTAAATCCCAAAATTAAATTCAATATGTATGGTTCGAACCATAGATCAAGTGGTTCATAAAGTCTCTATATTTATAGGATTTGCCAGCTCGAAGTCAGACATCGTAATTCCATTCCAACACGCAGAGGCGTCCCTTCGCTTTGCCTCGCTTCGTTGGAGCTTCTCAATTGAAACTCCTTCTTTACGGTTTCTCTCTACGTTTCCCCCTTTTTCTTCCGCCGATTCGCCATTCCGGACCAATTCTCTTCTATACACTCGATTCCTCTCGCGGCGGCTTGTGTTTTGCTCTTCGAATTCAATCGGAATGTCATACGCCTACCTTTTCAAGTACATCATTATTGGTGATACTGGTACGCCTTTGTATCTATCTTGTTTTCGTTTTGGATCTGGTTTCTGAATTAGGTCGATTTGATTATGTGTTGATTTGTGCTTAATCTACGTGATTGATCTGTCTGTCTGATTTGTGGATCTCAACGCTTCTTTTTAATTTGAGAATTTTCTTGCGATTGAGGGGTTTCTTGCGACTTTTGATTGTGCATATTCTTCAGGAGTTGGAAAATCATGTCTTCTTCTCCAATTTACCGATAAGCGCTTCCAGCCTGTTCATGACTTGACTATTGGTGTCGAGTTTGGTGCTAGGATGATCACCATTGACAGCAAGCCAATCAAGTTGCAAATATGGGATACGGTTAGCTATCTCTCTTTCATCTCTTCATTTTCTTTTATTGAACTGAATGAGTTCTATTCTGGTTTATGAATTGGTACGTTACCTAATCTAGGATCCATCTAAGGGTAAATCATCCGAAATTATACCAGAGACGAGTAGGTGATCTTCTGCTATAAGCTTAAATCTTAGTTCAAATAAAATGCACAAACAAGAACTTGTAGTAAAACCAGGCAATCTCCATTCATGCTACTATATAGAGTTCATACTATCTATGAGACTTATATTGATGTTTAGAGAGATAGATTATCATTGTAACATGGCTTCGAATCTACAAACTTAGAGCATACTTGTTTTACAGATTAAATGCCATTATTCAAACTTACTATCTGCTTTGTGAGTAATGATGATCCTTATTGTTGTATTGCTTATTTCTATTACACATAATACAATCGTGGTACAGATATTGGTCCCATGTACTTTCTATTTAGATTTGTTCTTTTTGTATCATATAAATTTCAGTAAGAATTTTCCAACTATGAAGTTTCCCAAAAATTTTACAGGCTGGTCAAGAATCCTTCAGGTCTATTACAAGGTCCTATTATAGAGGGGCTGCCGGTGCATTGCTTGTCTATGACATTACCAGGTCTTGCTTCCTCTTTGTTCCTTCCTAAATTAATACTACTTTCGAGTTTTGATGTAGGGATATTTCTGTACTTTAGTGATTTGTGTTTGTTGCCTTCTGTAGCCGTTGGGTTGTGAACCGTGAGTATGTTAACTTTCACAGTTCGTTATTTATCTTTTCCGGGGGGACCTAATATTCAATGTTTTAAAAGTCATCTTGAAGTTGCAATATAATTCGTGTTGGGAGTGAGAGTTCGTTAAAATTCCTCAGTCACAGGAAACTTAGTACTTCATGCAAGTAACAAGAGTTTTCCAGAGAGGTTATTGGTTGATGGAGCTGACCAATGTGTTAGTCGAATGCTTTTCGCTGTAGATTATTAGTTGTGGTTTGTTTTTGTGAGATCTCACATCGGTTTGGGAGGAGAATGAAGCATTCTTTAGAAGTATGTGGAAACTTCTCCCTATCAGACGCATTTTAAAAACCTTGAGTGGAGGCTTGAAAGGAAAAGCCCAAAGAAGACTATCTACTAGCAGTGGACTTAGACCGTTATAAATGATATTAGAGCCAGACACCGTATGTGCCAGTGAGAAGGCTGAGCCCCAAAGGGGGAGGACACGAGACGGTGTGCCAGCAAGGTCGTTGGGCCCCAAAGGGGGTAGATTTGGGGGTCCTGCATCGATTGGAGAAGGAAACGAGTGTCAGCGAGGATTCTGGGCTCCGAGGATGGTGGATTGTGAGATCCCCACATCGGTTGGGAAGGAGAATGAAGCATTCTTTATAAGGGTGTAGAAACCTCTCCCTATCAGATACATTTTAAAAACCTTGAGAGGAAACTCAAAAGGGAAAGCCTAAAAAGGACAATATCTGCTAGCGGTAGGCTTGGGCTATTATAGTTTTTGTCTTGTATAGTTGTTGGTTTTGTGAATAACATCAGCAAGACCATAATTGTTAAAATAATACAGTCACTCAAAGTTTGGTGTGATTCATTCTACCTTCTAATTTAATTTGATATACTGTGTAAGCTGTAATGGGGCCTCATACTTTAAATTTATAGAACCAATGAGGATCTCAGACTGAAGGTTATGTGGCTATCATATTTTTCAGGAGGGAGACTTTTAATCACTTGGCTAGCTGGCTTGAAGATGCAAGACAACATGCTAATGCAAACATGACAATAATGCTGATTGGCAACAAGTGTGATCTTGCGCACAGAAGGGCTGTCAGCACCGAGGAAGGAGAGCAGTTTGCAAAGGAGCACGGTTTAATCTTTATGGAGGCCTCTGCTAAAACTGCTCAAAATGTTGAGGAGGTGATAGAATATGACGTGTAGATTTATAATATTCAATTTTTTTATCTCACAATTCTCCTGATGACCAATCATTTTTAACAGGCATTCATAAAAACTGCTGCGACCATTTATAAGAAGATCCAGGAGGGAGTATTTGATGTATCTAATGAGGTATGCAGTCTGCCTTAACTTATTGCTAACTGTTTGGTTTTACCTTCGTCGTGGTGGCTTTGCATAAGAGTCCAATTCCACCGCTAGTAGATATTGTTATCTTTGGGCTTTCCCTTTCGGGCTTTCGAGTTTTCCTCTCAAGGCTTTTAAAGCGTGTCGGCTAGGGAGGGGTTTTCACACCCTTAATAAATGGTGTTTCATTCTCCTCCTCAACCCGTGGGCTCCCTTCGGGGCTCAGCCTCCTCGGCACATCGCCTGGTGCCTATCTCTGATTTCATTTGTAACAGCCAAAACCCACTCCTAGTAAATATTGTCCTTATTTGGGTTTTCCCTTCTGGGTTTCCCTTCAAGGTTTTTAAACCGCGTCTGCTAGGGAGCGGTTTCCACTTCTTTAATAAAGGATATTTCTTCTTCCTCCTCAACCGATGTGGGAAAGCTTATCATGGATGAATATGATGAGAATGATGTTGTAATTGATGCTATGTTCCATCTGATATGCTGCAGTCATATGGGATAAAGGTTGGGTATGGTGGAATCCCAGGGCCATCAGGAGGCAGAGATGGCACTATAGCTCAATCTGGGGGTTGTTGCAGTTAAACATCTTGCTGCTCAATCTAGTACAAACTTCGACGATGTCTTCTTTAAATTCCTTTGTTAATTATGAGTGTCAGAATCCATCAGAAAAAGAACAAAACAGAAAAAAAGAAACCCATAATAGGTTATCATCAGGTACTTGTATAATCATTTGATGTGTCATGTTTTTTTTCTTCTTTTCAATAAGCTAATTATGTCTTCATCGTATTTGATTGTAAAGGTAAATTCATATTAATGCATGTTATTTGTGACAGAACTGCCTCCTACTTTGTTTTATTGGTCAGTGCTTTAAGTACGGACTTTCTTTGAACAACTTTGAAGAATATGATGTTTTTAATTTTAAACTTTTATTTATTTTATTTAATTTTTTTTGTTGTCTCGTTTTAAAGGATTCAGGGTTCATAATGATGACATGTATACAGTAGCGATTTTAGATTAAGTATAGAATTTCGAGTTGTTACACAGTAAAATTAGTAGAAGTTTTAGAAGTTTTGGAAGAATAAATATGGGTCTCGGGGGAGGTCGGTGAAAGTGGCAGCAGCGGCTGCATTCCAGCTGTGCCGTAGTTTGCGGCGGAGAAGAAACATCTGAACGGGTTGAGTTTAGGAAATCTAGGAGCTGCAATTCTCGAAAGCTAAGGGTGGAACCAAAATCAATATATATTATTTAGGATTAATCAAAATATTCATTACTAGAATTAATTACTAAAAAAATTTCATAAAAATACTCATAAATTTAAAACTTTATCTTAAAAATACAATTTTAAATTTTTTTAATAATAGCTTTAAATTTCTTTTTCTTTTAAATGAAATTATTAAAAATACCAATGTTTTAGATGAAAAATGTTATTATTTTGTTTTAAAAATTACTTTTAAACTTTAAAAAGTTTTATTAATATCCTTCTATTTTTTCAAAAAATTAAAAAGTAAAAAATTCAAAAAATTCTTATCAATCGACTATTAATATCTCAAAATTCTTATTAATCGGCTATAATATCTCAGGAATTATCTGCCAACAAGTTCATAAATATTTTTAAAACGTGATACAAATGATGTTTTTTAATTTATTTTTTTAAAAAAAAGTTAAAGTATAAGTATTTTTATTTTTTTTTTTTTTTTTTTTTTTTTAAAAA